ACCCCACCGATTTTGAAAGGCTGCATCTGTATATATAAATATGAAGCTGAGGACAGGCATTTACAGTCAGAGAGGAAGCACTGAAGGAATCGTTACCTTGATACTCATACCTGCTGGACCAAGTGTGATTCAAAAGCTGCTTTCTTCAGAGTGTAACCAAGGTAAGTTTCATTTCATAGCTGATGTGTTACAGGTCATCATTACAGTGTTTTACAGTATTTTCTCCAATTTACAATTGTATAACCACCGTAAGTGTTGTGATTTGCCTTCAGAATGTTTTACTATACTATATCATAAGAATATCATGACATCCCATGGCAATGTTTCTGGGAATCATTACTATCCTACAGTACATTTACTTTAGTAAATGTTTGATACTGCTGGACACCATAATATTCCCAAGGGCAAGTGTTGTACATTACTGTTACCAATCCTATGTATGGTGCTACTGCATCTTGCTTGACTAAATAATAATCACATAACTGTACATGTATGAAAGGTGAAAGTAATCCTTACTTAGATTGAGTAGTCATTCATTGTTTACATTAGATAATCTTGCACATTTTTGGATATTTTCACTTTTCGACTTTACATATAAAGACATACAAACATATTTTAATGTCAGATGTGGAATAAGAATTCCGATAGCCATCAAACAATAAGAACAATACATTTCCACAGTAAGACAATATAGAATTTTTAGGTTCCATTAAAATTCAGCACCCAATAGCAACTTTTAGCCAGCAACCATATCCCCCTGCAACTCACAACTAGCAACCCTCTGAAGCTCAGCAGGTGTGAGCCGTGTCAGTACCTGGATGGGAGACCTCCTGGGAAAAACTAAATGTTGCTGCTGGAAGAGGTGTTAGTGGGGCAAGCAGGGTGTGCTCACCCTGCAGTCTGTGTGGGTCCTAATGCCCCAGTATAGTGATGGGGACACTATACTGTAAACAGGCACAGTCCTTCGAATGAGATGTAAAACTGAGCTTCTGACTCTCTTTGGTCATTAAAAAAGAGTAGGGGTGTTACCTCGGCATCCTGGCCAAATTTCCCATTGACCTTTACACATCATGACCTCCTAATAATCCCCATCTATGAATTGGCTTCATCACTCTGTTCTCCTCCCCACTGAGAGCTGATGTGTGGGGAGCATACTGGTGTACTATGGCTGCCATCGCATCATCTAGGTGGTGAGGAGTATCCATTACCTGTAAAGTGCTTTGAGTGGAGTGTCCAGAAAAGTGCTATATAAGTGTAAGGAATTATTATTATTAGGAACTATTCCATAACACTTTTTATTAAAGTTCTTTTGCTTTTGAAAATCCTCATCTAACAACATATCATACTTTCATACTATTTAATATACCTGATAAAAAATGCATCAGAATAAAAAACTGAAATTAACATAATATTTCCTAGGGGTCCTGAGTTCTCTTTTGGACTGGGGTGATATCTGTGTAGAGTTTATACTCTACGTTCTCACTGTGTTTACATTGGCTTCCTGCAGGTGCTCTGTTTTCTTCCCACAGTTCCAAGACATACAGTACTTGTAGGTTAATTGGCTTGTGGAAATATTGGCCCTGTATGTTTGTGTCTGTGTGTGCTCTGTGATGTACTGGCATCCCATCAAGGGCTTACCCTGCCTTTTGCAGGTTGTTTGCTGGGATAATATCTGCAACCCTGTATTGAATAAAGAGCATAGTGTCACGCCCTCCACATCTAGAGCTCCTGCTCTGTCCTGTTCCTTGTTTCTCTGTGCTTTACTTGTTCTTCTGGTTTGTCTTGTTGTCTGCGGCTATATATTTCCGGGTTTCCCTTTCCTCCTCGCTCGGTATTGGGATTGGTTGTAGAGAGGCTTGCATCACCAGGTCGCCCCAGGTCCACTACCTGAGGTCTTATGTCTCGTTCCGACTCCGCCCGATACCTTGAGCCCGGAGCAAACCCCCTTATTTGCTCCGTTGCTGCCGCTACACGTAGGGTCCTCCCTTCTCACCGGTCTCTCTCCACAGCTATACCCCAGATTCCGTGACAGTTAGAAAATGGATGGTTGGATAATATACTGTATATTTAATTATTTGATTTGCATTATAAAACTTTAAGCAGTATTCCTTCTTTTTCATAAACATTTTCTGCATCAGAGTCTTTAACTTAGTCACTAGCTATGGTTATTTTGGAAAGGTTATGGCATGCTCGTTTGAACTAACGTTTTTGATCATAATAAAATGATATAAAGTTATAATGTTTACCATGAACACTTGGTGTCGTTATTGCTGTAATGGATAATGAAAAGCTTGTAGCTTCACTGAACCTTTTGTACAAAATGGAAAAAGTAACACTAGTAGTTTTTAATTTAGCTCATCCAATTAGAGTGACATACTGTACTGTAAGTCATTCTTTGAAAGTCATTCAAATCATTAAAACCTCTTTTTTGTTTTAAATAAGATATATTTTCTTATTGTTTCAAATAGTATATAAAGCCAACATGTACAACTCTAACAATAAATTGTTAAAATATAAATTACTATTAATTTATATTTAATTACAAATAATTCTGTGACTGCATTTAATTAAAAAATGAAAAATGTCAGTTAGTGTTACTGTACAGTATGATTAGTGCAGGAAAGCACTAATGGGTTAATAAACATTTATTTGTTCTGATTAAAATAGGATTTGTGCGAAAGCCACATTAAGATAAATTCACTGTGCCACCTGGCAATTCTAGAGAGTAATGTAGTCCTGCAACAGATTATGTGAAAATCTAAAAAATGTTGTTGAACAGTACCTTTCAGCATACCACACCAGATGTTATAGTAGGCCGCATAACATCTCGAGCACTCTGAACGGCTGCATCTGTAATTTGTTTATTAGGGCTCCCTAAACGTTTTGCTTAGTTATTAGTACATAGAAGGGAGGATTCTGAACATTTTCTTTTGTTGTTATTAAAATAGATATCTGGAAAAAACATACAGGCAAAGCCATGTTTGATAAGCAAGTCACATTATATGGACATACAGTACACACATACAGTGCTAATAGGAAATTTACATACAGTTACACAATGTTCCCAAACTAAGACATTTTGTGACCTAATAGCCTGAAATCAAAACACATTTAATTAAAATGTATTTAATGATCATTTACATATTGTAAGTTACAACCTCCAAATGCTCAAACATTTTGAAAAGTAATTATAATTGAAAATCATTTTTTTTATAAGTGCATACACCTCTTGGTAATACAATAGCAGTTGTAAATTAGGAAGGATTGAACTATGTATTGTTTATGTATAGTTGCCCACAGTGTACTTGTCTTAAGAACTTATCTATATATGATTGATTTTGCTAATTTCTTCCTACAAATAAAGCTTCAATCCACGCTAGCATAATAATTGCCTCTGACACAACCTGCTTGATGTATCAAAATAAAAGTCTCAAGGGGAAAATTAACACAGAATGCAGTAGGTAGTTTGGCATACGGTATATTTGTGGTACTGTAGATGTAACATGCGTTATTAGAATATTAGGAAACTTCTAAGTTGTAAGTACCTGCCAGGGTTAGAAATATATAAAAAATAACATTATTTTGTGTATGGAATTTTGTTTTGCAGACAGACAGAAAGTTGACTTCATCTTCAGAAAGAGACCATGTCTGACCAGGTTAAGACTTCAGGAGCAGCAGACAATATGTGTGAGTATGTAGAGAACTGACATTGTTTCACAGATAAACTGTATTTGCAAATCTACAGGAGCTGTCTGAAGGGATAAAATGGGCACTCAGGGCACCATCAACTCCCATGACAGTGAGCTCAA